AGTACAAATTATTTCACTCTCAAGAGTGAGAACTAAATTTTAGGGGAACTAAATTTAATTATATAGGAATAATTTAACACCGTACCGTATCACTCAATTGGATATAACTCAGTGGGGGGGCGGGGGGGGGGGGGGGGGGGGAATATAGGATTAATGTTTATGGGAATATGTAAGGGTATTGGGGTGCCCAGATGCATCAGTAGGTAGTGTTGTGTTTCTTTATTTTCCTTCATTATCCAAAAAAAATGTTTATGGAATATCTTTAAAATCTTTACTATTTCATCATTACAATATTTACTTGTTTGATGTTGAAATGTAGGAAACCAAGATACATGATTTTGATAAATGCAATTTAAAGCCATCAAACTCGAACACAAACATAAAACAGGAAAACAAAATAGTTGTCTCTGGACCCCATGATGCAGAAGCTGCCATACCCATGCTGATATGTCCCAGACAACAACAAATCAAGATCGCATAAGAGTGCCACTGCTGTTTTCCGGGTATATGCATCCGTACGTGTCCTTCTATATTTGGTCCACTTTTCACTGAAATTTATGCTTCCTCAATATTATATGATCATTCATTTTTCTCATAGCTATTTTTAATTAGATGCAAATTCACAATTTTTCTTCTTTATATTCTGGTATTTGATACATTATATTGCACGGTTGCCAGATTGGCCATGCTTTGTTCAGTGTATGTTGCAAATTATTGAAGGAATGGAACTCTGATACTCTGCTCTGAAAGATGTTAAAGTTAAGTTGGTTTTTGATACGTCCACTTCGTTTAACTCTTATCCTCTGACCATTTCTTGTCATTAAATTTAGCACATTCTGCCAATCCATTATCAATATTGCTGAGAGTGGCATATTTCAATGTAGAACTCGATCAGTAAAAGCACACTTCAAATCTCAAGAGTTTTAATTGTAACTTTCTCTAAAATCTCTAGAAAAAAAATTAAGAACAAAAAATTAGGTCATCTCCAGATTTTTCTGAACCTTTCTTATTTCCTTTTATGTCATTATTTTGGTTCCACATACAATTCCATTCAATATGAAATATGAATGACATTTATTTAGCTCTTTTTTTTCCTTGTTCTTATTTTACTGTTTTTGTTTACTTTAGTTACGATTTCTTTGTGGGTTCTTTTCCTTTTAGCAGGCAAACAAATAGACATCATAAAGGTTGGTCAATGGAGGGTAGTTGATAGCACTTATAAGGGTCTGGGGAGAAGAACGTTATGGAGCAAGACAGCAAGTGATGGAGCTTTGAGTCTTCCTATATATTTGCCACTGTGCATGACTGCAATTTATGCCGGGTCTGCTGCCAGAAATTGTAACCAAAAGTGTAAACGACGAGATCTTTTAGATAAAAATCAAGAAATGGAAAACAAGAACAAGATATTATTAGAAAGGAAAAGACTCATTTTGATCCTCACATGTCAAAACTTTAGCAGAGGTTTAAATATCTTTATTCTTGACTCGTCTCTCACTCCGAGTTAGTCTTGTAACCCGACTTAAAGAGTCAGAGCTTGTGAGGATATCGGAAAAAAACCAATTCACATCAAAAAGATAATTATAGTTGGATTAACTTAATATATATATATATATATATATATATATATATAGATATATATATATTATGGGTTTATCATCTATCATTTAACATGACCACAAAAAATTTCCTACACACACAACATTTTGTGGGGCCCGCAACAAAAAAAAAAAACTTCGGCACGCAAAATGAATCTCTATAACATAACATAATCAATTTTCCTACAACATAACTCTTATAAAACTCATTATATATATATACACACATATATATATATATATATATATATATATATATATATATTATTTATGTACATCTTTTTACACACACTAGAATGATTAGAATTATTGGCTTATATGAAATGCAGAAAGCAAGAAATCGAAGTGTATTTTGTAGAATAAAAAATCCCATAAAATGGGAAACAAGATTTGGTTTTACACATATATCCTATCATACATACATTCAGTTCAATTCAAATCAACCAGTATCCTCACATTTTTGCATGAATAAGTTAAGGTTAAATTTAATCTCCTGTTATCGTGATCCGTGATTATTAATTTAATAGGAAAAAGAAAAAGACTGTTTATGGGCCCACAAGATCAACATCATGAAATGGGGTACGTGACAGCTAGTCTACTCTATGAACATGTGAAGATATGGGGTGATAAGTCTTTGTTGAGTGATTTCACTGATGTATAAAGTTTGAGGAGTGTGGAATATGATGCCTTTACGCCTTTACAAAATAAGTGGGAGTAACGAAGAGATAAACCAATGCAAACATGAGACTGAATAAGATGGATCAATCCCTTGAATATAAACTTGCATTATTCACATGAACATGTCATTAGATTACGGACCAACCCATAAAATTATTCATCACAACTGAGCATTTCTTCTAATTAACAGGGTCAATTCAAATAAAAGGTCTAGGTAGAGTATTTTTAAAAATCATGAACATACATAATTAAATTTTACTAGTACCACACCACTTTTGCCTAAGTATATAAAGATATTTCATACGTCTGAGAGGTGGACCATTGGTCCCAAGTAAGTGGCCTACATGGATAATTGGTTCACATGCATGGCAAGAATACCATAAACTAAGATGACTACGCTGTACTGTATGTCTAATAATTACATATACATTCATAAGCGGACACCTAAGCTATAGTATTAATGTTACTTGTTCTCTTCCCATCAAATTTCAAATTGAGGTGGTGAATTCAATTTGGACACGGGTTCTTCATGCATCCTCATTCTTCACTACTATTTCTTGTCACGGAATAATAATGGGCAGCAATTTATTGCTTTTTTTGGTTCAATTTGTCTTAATATATATATATATATGCTCCATGTGAGTTCGGCTGATCATTACAAGAAGAACCGAATCATCCAATACGGCAGAGTTTACGATGTCGTTTGCATGCTGCTTGTGCTTTGTTATTGGGGAATAAAAATCTTTGATATGCGGTACCACAAGCTTTAATTTTAAACACAAAGCGACGGTGCTTTTGACCAACCACTTTTGTTTGACAGACTCTTTTTATTATTATTACTATAAAACAGGGATAAAATGCATTTTCCAGAAAAATGAAGAAAATAAATGTCTTTGATTCATCTAAGTATGACATGCTATGCTTTAATTACTTTGACTCAACAAGAGTTCTACGGTTTTTTTTTTTTTTTTTTGGTAAGCTGGTTTATTTTTTCTTCATCTAGTCTTTGTTTGCTTACTTACGTTAATTTAATTAACAGTTTTTTACTTTTGTTCATATAATTTATCTCTAAAAATAAAATTTTATAATGGTATGGTTAGAGAGGCTAATTTGCATATGGGCATATAAAATGACTTTTTTTTTTTTTTATAAACGCATATAAAATGACTTTACTTGGTTCTTGGAGTACGTTTTGACACGAGAAATGTAAACCTCCTTTTATGTATAAATAATAAATTAATGTTTATTTTTACAGCATATATAATAAAATTAGCTCTGTGTTGAAAAAAAATTGTATGAAACTGTTTAAGATTAGTTTGAAAATTTTTAGAGCATAAGAAAATTCTCTATAAATAAAAAAGAGGGAATAACTGTTCACCAGTTTAAGAATGGAAGAAAACATGGAGAAAGAAAAGAATAAGACTGGGAAATTTCAGAAGAACAGATAAGATATATGTGGTTGTTCTGATAAGTTCAGATCTTTAAGTACTATAAATTTATTTAGACATGCATGTTTGTTTTATGTGATGTAAGCCATTGAAAGATTTTGTGTATTAAAATACAACTATTTTCCATTTTAAAATTAAATAATTATAAATTTTAAAAAAAATAATAAAACATTAAAATGTTATATGATAATATATCATTTTATTTTTTTATAAATGAAAATATTTACATGGAAAATTATTCACTGGCCGTAGCCTTCAAACCTCTAAAGAGACACAAGTGATGGAAATTAAAATAAATCCTAATATATTTAACTACAAAATAACATAATATATGATATATAATCTAGTGTAAAATAATAAGCCTTACATCAAATTTTAATCGTTGATTTTCATATATGTATCGATTATGATTTATTGAAAGTTAATAATTAATTAATAAATATAATCTAATAAATTATAATCGACAAAAATTAATAATTAAAATTTAATATAAAATTTAATATTTTTACAATGATATAAATTTATTTTCCCATATAATATAATAGAATACTAGAGTTTATGGGCATTTCACTTTTGAGAGAACAAGACCTAGTGGGTTCGTCAGCATGTGGCCTGATGACTGAGCTATTAGCATGCCTCTACAAAAAGAACGCCAAAAGCTTTTTAGACAGTTACTCTCCCTTTTGGACTTTAGTCGTTTCATTTTATACAATCCTACGATTGAAGAACGTGATGACGATCCAAAAAAATACCCCGATACCCTCTTCCCACCACTCCTTCTCAAAGAAAAATTTTATATGAAAGAAGAAAAAATCGAATAACCCAGAAATTATATTCAACGGCTCGCATAAAATCTAAAGATTCATTCAATCCTAAACGTTGCCTACCACATAGAATATTAATTTTTTTTTATTTTTTTTTTCAGGAATCTTCACTATTCTGCTTTTGACATTTTTTCTCTCTACTCTCTAGGATCAACATGTTGCTATCTTGTAGCCTCTCATTCAGTAAAAGATTCCTTTTTCTTAACATATTTATAAATACAAATATGTCAATTTTTTCTGTGAACATTATAAGAAAACGAAGTTAAATATGAATACGAAATTGAAAGTGACTTTTGTCGCTGAAATATGGGCTTTAATTAATATTTTTTTTTCATTACTGAATACTAATTAAATGAAACTTAATTTGTTATTGTTCCACGTCATGTTTCATCTCGCATGTGCATATAAACCCCACTTCAGGAACCCAATGTGAAAGAAAGCCCACACACACTTTCAAAAAACTCTCACACACTCACACGTACGTACATGTTACCCTGCACCCACCATGGCCATCACCGCCACACACACCAGAGATGAACCCGACTACGACAGTAGCTCCTCCTCCATCACCGCGCCGGAATCAAGCCGGAGCTGGATGAGCAACCTCAGCTTCAGCAGCCGCCGGCGCCGGAGCTCCGTCTCCGTTTGTTCCTCAACGACAGAAACCTCTTTGTTCCTCGGTTCACAAGCCAAGCCTCACAAGGCAAACCAAGCTGCATGGGAGGCCATGCGGCGGCTCCGCAGCGACAAGGGCCGTCTCGGACTGGACCACTTCCGCCTGCTGCGGCGGCTGGGAAGCGGTGACATAGGGAATGTGTACCTTTGCCAGATAAGGAACCCTGTGGTGGGGTTGCCACAGTGCTTCTATGCAATGAAAGTTGTGGACAGAGAAGCACTTGCCATAAGGAAGAAGTTACAGAGAGCAGAGATGGAGAAAGAGATTTTGGGTATGCTTGATCATCCTTTTTTGCCCACTTTGTACACTGAGTTTGAAGCTTCTCATTACTCTTGCTTGGTCATGGAGTTTTGTCCTGGTGGAGATTTGTACGCTGCTCGCCAACGCCAACCAGGGAAGCGCTTTAGCTTAACATCCGCTAGGTAAAATTAAAGCACTTTTTTTCCTTTATTAAGGTTTTCTAGACTTAAAACTTTAGACAAAGAGCTTCTATGTATATATATATATATATACATATATATATATATATATAAATAAAGTACAGGTTATATTTATAAATTTTTTTGTTTACAAACTATCTTGTCTTCTCCCGAGAGATCATAGTGTAATTTGTAAAAAATTTCAAAAAAAGTTTGTAAACAGATCCTTTCCCATATATGAAACGTAGTTTATTATGCAGAATAACAAGTCTTATATTAATTTCTAACCATTAATTAAAAATTTAGAATGAGATTAGATATAAGTAAAATTAATAGCCGAGATTAAAAATATAAGTTAGGCCGGTAAAAAATGATTTACCTTTAATATATATATATATTTTAATTGTGGGCGAATATTAGTAGTAGTAAAACTGTTCTTTCGAAAAGATTCAAATTTAGAAAATAATTTTTTTGTAATTATTTACAATGGTAAGATTGTGTATAAAAATTATCCTCATCTCACACTTTTTAATCAGGTTTAACTGGAGAGTTTATTTATATATATATTGTTAATTTATTGTAAGTATATATATCAAGGTACTAACAAAGTGTTAAATTGAAACATAGGTTTTATGCAGCTGAAACACTGTTGGCACTAGAGTATCTTCACATGATGGGCGTAGTGTACAGGGATTTGAAGCCGGAGAATGTGTTGGTAAGGGAGGATGGACACATTATGCTTTCAGATTTTGATCTTTCTCTCAAATGTGATGTTGTTCCCAAGCTATTAAGGAGTAAGACTAGATTGGAACGCAGTGTCAAGAGTACAAAGAGATCTGCACCTGCTTGCACTGCCCCCATGCAGCCTGTGCTATCTTGTTTCTCAGCATCAAGCAAGAAAAAGAAAGCAACAGTGACAACGGTTATAAGAGAAAATGTTGAAGTCCAAGAACTTGATCCAGAGCTGGTGGCAGAGCCAATTGATGCTCGGTCTAAGTCATTTGTGGGGACTCATGAGTACTTGGCACCAGAAGTGATATTGGGGCAAGGTCATGGGAGTGCAGTGGATTGGTGGACTTTTGGGGTGTTCTTGTATGAAATGTTATATGGTAAAACACCCTTCAAAGGTGAAAATAATGAGAAAACACTCCTAAACATCCTGAAGCAGCCATTGGCTTTCCCTAGAATTGCAGTGAGCAGTAGCAAGGAGTTTGAAGAGATGGTGAAAGTTCAAGACCTTATAAGTAAGCTATTAGTGAAGAATCCCAATAAGAGAATTGGAAGCTGCATGGGTTCTGTTGAGATAAAAAAGCATGAGTTCTTCAAGGGTGTTAATTGGGCTTTAATTAGATCAGTTAGACCCCCTGAGGTTCCTGCTGATATGAACAAGATTAGGAGTAGGGTTTTGCTACCTAAACTAAGCAGAAAAGACAGGGATCAGCCATATCAGCTTACTCATCATTTTGAATACTTCTAAGTTCTAACTGCAAAATGTATATAGTTCAGGAAAAACATGTTTCCACTCAAATGTGTTTCCCATTAAAGAAAATTAGGGGCTCTTTTCACCTTGTTTTTATTTTTATTTTTCTGTGTACTGATGAGAGAAAGATTTAGAATTAATGTATGACCAAGGCACTGTGCATTGAATTCACAATTTATTCGATCATTATAATAATATTGTTATGTCTCCACCTATAAATTAATTATCAGTAGTTGAGGATTTGTAGGTGTAAAAAAGTGGGATCCCATAATTGTCCTAATGTGATTTTCATGAAAAGCTTATGAAGTCATGTGATGACAATAATTACACTTCTCATTGCTGAGAAAATTGCAGGAAAAAAAAGGGAAAATCACTTTATTTTAACAATACTTTATAACATTGTATACTTTTTCATATCTGCGTATTCACGTGTCCTTTTCACCGAACGAAGAAAAGAAAGAAGAAGGAAATATTTTCTGGGTTCCTTTTTCTCATTCTTTTCGTTAAAATGTAAAAATGTAAATTATGGTCATTATCTACTACGCTTTATAATAAATTAAGGTTCTAAAAGCTGCTTTGAGTTTTATGATACACTTAGTTATATTCATTTAGGAGTGAGAAATGTATATAAATATTTCTTTCTCGAATCAAGGGGTAAGGTAATGAATGTCTGGAATTAGTTAATAATAAATTGGAGTAGATTTGGGAATTTGTTGCTAACAGTAATGATGAGGTGAGAGAGGAGAACAAAAAGAGTGTAGGCTGTGTGGACCATTTTGAATGCAGTAAAAAATGACTGCAATAATTGAGAATTTTAACATCTAAAGCCAAAGGAAACCAAATAAATCGTCTACCAAGAGGAATCCTTTACTCACATAAAGTATCAATAAATCGTCTACCATAAAAAAATAAAAAAGTACCAAAAAACCATACATTAATACATATAACTATGAGTCAGTGCATATGGATGACAACCCAAAGTTCTGGTGCTCTCTTCCATGGCAGCCCAAATAACAATGAACATTCATTAGGTATTTGGGATCCCTTATCTCTTTCTGCCTGCGTAGTGAGAAGAAAGGGACTATTTTCCTCTTTCCTATAAACATTTCATTTACACATGACGATGACAGCTGAATATCATATAATAAACTAGTATGACATATCGGTATATAGCTAGGGAGAACATTTGAATCATAATATATAATGGATGAGTTGTGATTATGCAGGGAATCTGATTTTCATATGCAAATGAATTTTGTTACTTTTTAATAAAGGTTAGTTTTACATTTAAAGAATAGGAAAATAACTTGTGAGAGAATAAAAAATACATACTAGCAACATAAGTTACATGATGAAAAATGGAACCACACCCCTTTAACTCAAATATGGTAGCCACTTTCTCCCTCCACAAAGTAGAGGGTTCCTAATTTGATCGAGCACATCCTCTGTCATTTAAGTGGTAACTTTTGTCATATATCACTAAAAGGAAGACAGCATGTCACCATTTAGATTTGCATTCTAATGGAGTACAGCATTAATGGGCAAGCATCAGCTTTTATCATATCATTCATGCTGTTCTTTAAACATGAATGAGCTGTAAATTGTATTGTCCAAATAGTCAAGTACTCAAATGACTTTTCTCATTTTCTTTTTGGTATTTTCTTTTTCAGAGATTAAATCTTACGGTGGAGAGAGTGAGGACTGAGGAGTTTTTGTAATTTGTTGTTTTGTTGACAGCATGGTTGAGGTTGAATCAATCTTATGCTTGTGACTTTAAGGCCGGTTGTTGAGTACCGGTAGTAATATGTATTAGAATTTGTTTCTAAAATTCCATGGGTTATTGGATAAAGATTGAAGAGGTGGAAGGGTATATAAACCTCCACCTCACCTCTCTAGTTTGCATATTGGGGCACATCATTTTTTAGGAACAGAGAGAATAAAAAGACACGATTGTTCGGTCGCGTATTGTGAGAGAAATAATATTTTTTTTACTTTATTTTCTATCCAAAATACCCTTGTCTTATCTATTGCTTCCTACTCCCCACCAAACTTTGAACCGGAATGGTGCGTTCGGTTATATAACCGAATCAGTACTAGTTCGTTAGTGGCGGTTCCGTGTCGGTACTGGTTCTAAACTTTGAACCAGAATGGTGCGTTCGGTGGTACTGGTTACAAACTTTGAATCGTAATGGTGCGTTCGGTTATATAACCGAACCAGTACTGGTGGTTCCAAACTTTGAACCGGAATGGTACGTTCGGTTATATAACCGAATCGGTACTGGTTCGTTAGTGCTGGTTCTGTGTGTCCGATCAGTTCGCCGACAGTTGTTCATCGTGTCCAATCAATGTGTATATATAGACGCCGCCAAACTTTGAATCGGAATGGTGCGTTCGGTTATATAACTGAATCGGTATTGGTTCGTCAGTGGCGGTTCCGTGTGTCCGATAGGTTCGCCGGCGGTTGTTCATCGTGTCTGATCAGTGTCTATATATGGACGGTAAACCCTTCAAAAAAAAAAAGATCCAAAATTTTCTGAGTCATTACTCTACCGAAATTTTTCTAAGTTATTCTTGTATGCATCCATACTCATACATACTGCCTTTGGCTTAGAAAAATGCGATTCTATCTGGCATTCGATTGTGTTCTTGGGGCTCTTGATTAATAGTTGCCATCATTCTTGAGACGCAAATCCTTTCTATCATAGGAGACAATTATTCATCAACCTTTGGCATCAATAGATGGAACAAATTGTCTTGAAAAGACAACTTTTGTTCGGCTCGAATTCTTCATCATTTTCTGCATCTGTTCTTCAAAAATACTATGAGTTTAATACAAACCCGAGCAGGAAAGGTGATAATGGTCCAATGAATAGAACTCAAGAACCAGAGACAAGGTTTATACAAAGACAGGGAGGAAGGGTGAGGACCAGATCTGGTGGCTTAAAGAATTTGTGTCTAACACACGTGGAACCTAAAGACAAAACACGTGGAACCTGAAGACCTTGTGATCCTTACACGCGACTCTAGAGGAGGGTGTCTACTATACATCATCTATTGGGCTTATCATGGGGGGCCCAACACCTTTGTTATTGATTCTAATAGAGTGAGTGATAAATAGGAATTCAGTTGCAATTTCTTTTTTTTTATCTAAATACTGGACAATTGATTTCTCTTCTTTCTCTTTTGTATTATGGAGTTTACGACATCCTCGAATTGGCGTCGGTGGAGTAATATTCAATTGTTTCTTTATCCCAAATGTCTTGATTGCTATCATTTTGGTGCTTTCATTGAGAGAAACTTTCGGTGAAAAATGGCAGAAGGAATTCGAAGCAGTATTAAAGTGGGAGCTATTGATGAGTTATTGAATTGATTGACTCACTAGGAGCAACAATTTGATGCACTAGAAAATTTGTTGAAGGAGATGAATATGAAGTTGACACCGATGGAAGCTAAGATGGAACAAGGCGTACACAATCGCATGAAATCTGAAAAATCATCAGGGAATGGGTTAGAAAATTTCTTTTGGAATAATTCATTTAAATGTGTGAAACTCTCGATTCCTATATTTGTTGGGGGAAATCTGGAACCATGGATCCACAAGAATCAACAATTTTACAAGTTTAATGACTTGATTGATCAAAAGGAGTTTATGCTTACCTCTTTCCATATGGACGGAGCAGCAGAAGAATGGTATCATTGGATGGATCGAAACAGAAGGTTGCGAACAAGGGGGGATTTTTGTGTGGCAATGTGATCCATATTTGGTCCTTCAAAATACAGAGATCTTAGAGGTGAGCTAAATCGCTTATCTCAACAAGATAGTGTAGAGGATTATTAGCTACAATTTGAGAAGTTGGTCAATCAGGTCATTGGCATTGATGATATTACGTTGCAAAGTAATTTTGAATCTTGATTGAAGGCTGAAATTAGGAAGGAAATAAGGATGACTTACCTGAAACAATGGAGCAAGTAATAGATTAGTAAAAATAGTTGAAGATAAATTGAATGATCGCACAAATTCAAAACACCTTACCTGCGAGGAGGAGCTCCTAGTAACCAAACTGGAATACTACCAACTCCTAATAAGGCAGTGACTGCCAGTCCTGGATCCGTGAAGGGAACAATCCCTGTCAAAAAGCTAACAGCTGCAGAAATGATGGAGAAACATGAGAAAGGTTTATGCTACTACTGTGACGAGAAGATTAACCGCAACTATGTATGCAAAGCCAAGATGTTCATGTTGATGATACAAGATGGTCCTAGAGAGGATGAGATGCATGATTTTTTAACTGTAGAGCATGACGTGAGCAATGAGAAGATACGAGGAGAGGAAGAAAGCATGCCTAGTATCAGTGGCGGACTGACACTAGTGTCTATGTCTGCACATGCAGACACAAAACTTTGAGAATTTTTTTTTAAAGGGGTGGGTGATTTAGGTAAGTAAGGAAGATTGAAAAAAAAGTAAACATAGGCCCAATCATGGTAGTTAAAATTGGGATCTTACTTAAAATTAGAAGGAGGATAAAAAATCATAAAAAATCATAAAATCGTAAAAGTGTTTGGAATTTTGATGAAATCGTTTTGATTAAAAAAATCGTAAAATCATAAAATCACAGATTTAAATCAGGATTTTAACTAATATAGGCCCAACCCAACCAATCCTTATAATTAAAAGCTTAAAACTTAAACCGTACCCCATTGCTTTGTCTCTTCTTCTTTTTTTGAATCATAAACCTTATTAGCTCCAAACCTTAATAGACATCGATGATTCCTGAAATTCAATCTTCATCAAGTGGAGGAGAATCGTACGGGACTTTTCACGTTTTTTTGTGAAGCAAAAGTTGCCAACTTTGGATCAAATATACATCAACAAGGGTGGATTTTTTATCATTATTTTTTGTATATTAAGTTAAAGTTTTCTTTTATTGTTTATATATTTTTTAATACATTTACATTTTTCTTTTTAAAAAATCTTCGGGGGCGCTGCCCCCGAACCCTCGCCCTAAATGTGCAAACATAAAAAAAAAAATATGGGTCCGCCAGTGCCTGGTATTAGTTTCCATGCACTAGAAGGGAAACATTCTACGAGTACCCTTCATGTAAAGGGAAGAATTAAAAAAAATGAAGTTCATATATTGGTGGATGGAGGGTCAAC